CCCATTACGCTCGAAAGTAACTACGGCAAGTTGTTTAAGTCTACATGAAATCTATACCCTACACAGACTAATGAAATACTATCTGTAAAATTATCTATGTAAACAAACCTCATCATTTGAGAAGGTAGGTGATGCGGACGTGTTGGAAGACATTTTGTCCCGTAACGCTCGCCGTACTGTTGGGAGAAGCGGTGGGCGGGAGATGTTCATGTTGCTGCGGTCTGCAGTCTGGACGTTAGATGTCGCTGAAAATTACACACTGTAGCTTTAAGTATACAGTTGTGCTTGAAAGTTTACATACCCTACCATTAAAGAAAACAATACATTTACACTAATACTTCAGATATTAAAATAAAAAGTTATAATAAATAGAAATTTAATATTATATACTTGTATATATACAAAAATACGTATTTGAACTCCCTGCTATTTTGCAAGTTTTCCCACTTAGAAATCAGACATGATATAAAAAAATTAAATCCACAAATTACAATATATATTTTTTTCTTTTTATTTGTATAATACAGCAGCAAATAATTATGAGAAAATCAATGTCAATATTTGGTATAGTAGCCTTTGTTTGAAATTCCAGAGGTCAAATGTTTCCTGTAGTTTTTCACCAGGTTTGCACACTGCAGTAGGGATTTTGGCCCACTCCTCCACACAGATCTTCTATAGAACAGTCAGGTTTCTGGGCTGTTGGTGAGAAACATGGAGTTTCAGCTCCCTCCAAAGATTCTCTATCGGGTTTAGGTTTGGAGACTGGCTAGGCCACGCCAGAACCTTGATCTGCTTCTTCCAGAGCCACTCCTCCTGGCTGTGTGCTTCGGGTCATTGTCATGTTGGAAGACCCAGCCTCAACCCATCTTCAATCCTCTAACTGAGGGAAGGAGGTTGTTCCCCAAAACCTGGCAATCCATGGCCCCGATCATCCATTCCTTAATACAGTGCAGTTACTCTTTCCCATGTGCAGAAAAACACCCCCAAAGCATGATGCTACCACCCCCATGCTTCACAGTAGGGATGGTGTTCTTCAGATGAGAGACAAAATATAATCGTTACAATCGTTTTTAATAAACTAGAATATTACTGAAAGGTAAATGTTTTTCAGTAATATAATGCATTAAAACCAGACCAATGTTTTCAAGCCTTTAATTCAGTTAATCATGAGGATTTTCTGCTTCTAGGAAAATAAAATAAATTGAGATTAGAACATTACGTCAGACCAATAAACGAAAGTTGAACTCAGAGATTTGTTACACCTGCTTCAAGTTTGTTCTTCAATTGTACTGTTATTTTGGCAAACAAGACTTATTGGTGCCTGAATTCTAATGAATATGGCTTTATATACATCATTAAATCTGTGTTTGGGTTTCCTCCATCTGTGATGATGCGGTTTAGGACAATGCAGCCAGTCCAAGACGGTAGAGTTACTCAGGAAGTATATTACCGGGATTAATCTGTTCAGGGACTAGCTGTTTATTATGAGATAAGAATGGGTTGGATTGGCTAAAAGAAAACCGATCAGTTTAGTGATATTGGAATGAGAACTGAGAGGGAAAATAAAAGTATGCATGAAGAAGAAGAGTCAGAAAACTGGGATAACATAGAGTTTAGGATAATAGACGAGGAGAACTGATATAACGATCACAAAGGCTGAAGTTAGAGTGACAGGATTAAGAGATGAGTGGGAAACTAACGGATAGATGATGGGAAGAGATGACGGATCAGTTGAATCAGAAAGATGCTGAGATTAATGGAAAGTTACTAGATGCTGATTGTAAAGACTACAAAAAGGAAAAGCAATGGCAGCCAGTGGGACCTGATAGAAAACATGTTCACAGACGTGTTTATTTAAAAAGTCATTCAGTCCGTTTTCTCCCCACAGGGCTGCAACAAAGCTTTGATGAAGCTAAGGCTGAAGAAAACGCCCGTGGATCCCATTTCCAATGGTTTGCAACAAGCAGGCGCTAAAATGAACTTTGATGAGCTCCGTCAGGATCTGAAAGGGTAACGGGAGTCTCCAACCACATCCAGAGCTGATGAAAGGTTTTTTTTGTTTTAAATTCACCGTCTGTTCGATTTAATTGTCTCCTTCAGAAAAGGCCACACGGACGCAGAGATTCAAGCCATCTTCGCCAAGTACGATCAGGACGGCGACCCTGAGCTGACGGAGCACGAACACCAGCAGATGAGAGACGACCTGGAGAAAGAGAGAGTGAGTGACGCGGCGAGCGCCTCGTTACTGTGGAAGAAAAAAGCCTGGACACCCGCAGACGCTCAGTGTGTTTCTGCTCATATGCTAGGAGGACCTGGAGATGGAGCGCAATTCTCTGACCCGACCCAGCAGTGGGCGGAGCTTCCCTCGCACTCAGGATGACTCAGAGGAGGATGATGATGAGGACTCTGGTCACAGCTCCCGTCGCCGTGGCAGCAGCTCTGGGGGAGTCTCCTACGAAGAGTTCCAAGTGTATGCAGCTCCTGTTCTTACTGTCCTCGCTGTGTTACGTCCTACACAGATCAGTCCGGCATCAGTCATGTGACAGGAAGCCTTTCTCTAATCAGGCCAAGTGGACGGAGGTTCAAACTCTAATAACTTGTGCCGACAAAAGAGGTTGTCTACTCTTTATTCTTAGTCCTGGTAGCTAAATCTAGAGATTATTAGAGCATTTTCAGGGTGCTACAAAAAGAAATCCTTTGGTTAGGTCCAGCTGGTGGATCTGAGGGAATCCATGAGGTTTTCCTGCTGGTCTAAAGATAAAAAAGTGAACATTTAAAGATGGACAAGAGTAACAGATACCAAAGCTGGAAACACTGAATAACGGGTGGAAGAGAGAAAGCTTTCTGAAGCAGAACCAATCACTTGGAAGACGTTAGGGCTTCGGGGTAGTAGTGTATTTAAGTTGGATGTTAGATTACTTTAGCAAAGGTTGTAGATTAGAGGACTTATCCAAACCAGAGCCACGACGTAACCCTGGTTCTGATGGTAAAAATGTTTACTAGTAAAACCAGGAGAGGACGATCAACCAACCAGTTTCTAATAAGACTGTAAACCATGACATCAAAAGTTGACAGCATGGGGTCATATCACATTCCAAACCTCTCTGTCTCGTGTCTGGCAGGCTGGTGAGGAGAGTGGACCGCATGGAGCACTCCATCGGCAGCATCGTGTCGAAGATCGATGCAGTGATTGTGAAGCTGGAGGGAATGGAGAGAGCTAAGCTGAAAAGAAGAGATGTGCTGGGCAGGCTGCTGGACGGAGTCATCGAGGTGAGAGGCTTCAGGATCAACATTAGTTTGTGTTTCATTAGTGACACGTTTGGTGATGATTGCTTTGGATGCTGGAAGAAAAAAGAAAAACGCAGAAACAAGAACTCTGTTAGAAGAGGTGCACAAGGTGTTGAGCAACATCCTTCCTTTGAATCTCATAAAGCCTATGCTGATCATATTTCCTGGTTTTCAACACAAATATTCCAAATAAATGGCCTGAGCAGAATAAAAATGTCTTATAAAAACATCCATCAATATATTATGATGATAGTAAGCTTAGCTGGAGTGAAATGATGAGTCTTCCCTTTCAACTAGGAAGGGTGATTTGGATGGGGTTAAACTGACTTGAGTGTGGAGGACAGGGCAGCAGAGCAACAGGGGGCGTCACTGTCCTCTTGCTCTCTCATAGTGCAGAAACAGCAACAGGACAAAGTGTGTTCCTTTTCCAATAAATATGGGACAGGGACTCTAAATACTAAATACGGAATGATTCTGTTTTCCAAGGGACGGTTGGCAACCCTAGGTGTGCCTGAGACCACAGTGTGCTGCTGGGGTGGTTTTTTAAATAAAAAAAAAATCAGCCGCCATCTGGAAATGTGATTACAGTGCCCCATGCGTGCCCCCTAGTGGCTTGATTATGAGCCCAAATTGCCAACATTTCTACATGAAGTAAATATTATCTCACTTCCGCTGCTGATTTATGCATAGTGCAGAGGGAGCTTAGATCCTACTATTATGGGTTTAATTTCTGTAACATCTGAGTGGACTTTTAATTCTGTAGAGGTGGTGCATGTTTGGGGTTTCAGCAAATTGCTTCTTTTAGTGAATGGACAGCATACTTCATTTGATTTAATTTGATCACGATTTATTTCATTAAATGCTTAATAATGATTAATCCAATTTATTGTTTCAGCCCTAGCTGACTCACAATCTTGTAATGAGTGAAAGAAACGGGGCAAAGCAGCTTTTGGGCAGCAATTCTAAAAGGAATCTTAATGTTCCCCAAGATTATAATTTTAAAAAGTGTGTGATCCATTCAATCTGTCTGACTATTGCCGTTTCTCGATTCAAAAGAACGAGAGTACGGACTCATGTCCTTGCCAAGTATATCTTGAGAAGAACAAAGGAAAGTAAGGACTTGGGGAGAAGGGGTGCACGCAGCATAAATATGAGTGAATTGGAACAGAAGCGTACTGATGACATCACCAAACGCTCTGCTCGTCTGGAGCTGCATTTCACTTCCTGTTATTAATAGTTTCTAGATAATAATAAATTCTGACTGTTTTCATTTAGTCTGGGAATAATAATTAACACAGTCAGATAAACACAAATCAATTGAACATTTTGCCAAATAAAATAAATAAACCGCCATCATAGGCAGCAGTCCTTCACACACGGTTATGCCAAGAGAGGGCTGCTGCAGACGGGCTGCGGTTAGCCCGGGCTGCCGTAACCCTCAGAGCTTCGCTGGTTGCCGTGGTCCTCTCACCTTCGGACATTTTTTTAAAAGATGATGCATTTAATCGGTAAATGGTGACGCTTAAAGTATAATGTTCTCGCCTCAAATGATCTAAAAACGTACTTTTATTGAACAACGGCAACAGAAAATAAAACTTTTAACTTAATCCTCTGAGCTCTGTGAGCGCTCCATTGAAAGCTGCTGCTGCCGCAGTGCTCTGATGCATGCTGGGTAAATAGGGAGGGGTGAGAACAACATCTGGGGACTTTGTCCGTTCTCGTACTTCTGATCTTGTGAATTGGAGCAGTACTAGGGCTAAGGCTAATGACGTTTCACGAGTACACGAGAAAGCACAAGTACACATATTGACAAACAGCCTATATTTCGGAGAAATATGCCAAAACCCAACATGGTGGAGGTAGTGTGATGATTTGGTGCTGCTCTGCTGCTTTAGACCTGGATGACCTTCAGTTATTGACAGAACTATGAATTCTGGTTTCTACCAGAGCCTAATGAAGGAAGAATAATTTTTTCCTTCATTTCCTCCAGCAGCTGGCTAATAAATAAAGCACTCTGGCAAGTAAAAGCCTCATGTTCAGACATTAGGTGTAAAGGGTTTTATTTTTATTTTTTTACTTTTTTTTGCTGTTTTTTGTTTTGTTTAATTGTTCAGATCTGAGCATCCTACATACAGTCTACTGCTGCTATGCTGTTCTTACATCCCTGTGTAAAAATGCTCTATTTTTACCTGCAGGATGAGCGTTTGGGTCGGGACACTGACGTCCACAGAGACCAGATGGAGCGACTTGTGAGGGACGAGCTGGAGCTTTGGGAGTCAGACGACTTGGGCTCCCAGGTCAGCCACACTCCTGCGGGCCCACGGGCTCGTCCCCCGTCCTCCCTTTCTGCAGACGGCCTCGACGTGAGCTCAAATGGAGGCGCACATGTCTAAACACCTGACGAGTTAAAAATGACCCCAATCCAGAAAGAGACTTGAAAAACAAAACTTCAAATTTGGAGATTTTTCAAAGCAAATATGATGCTGAATGTGTTTAATTTTCTGCATGGAGAATCTATCCAATCAAGAAGCATTATTCTGATGAGAGAAGCACAAGCTACACCTGAGGATGAAGCATAATAGCATTAAACCACCTTATAAGCATATCAGATATTCTGTGTATGAGTTATACTCTGATTGTTAACTGCCACATTTTCCAAACATTTCATGTTTACATAAATAAGAGTGGACTTCCTGTCA